GTCATTGTTGTTTGGCAGGTCCGGGCTGGGGATTCGAACCCGCCACCTTAGGTGTACGTGGCTGGCGCCTTAGCCGGTTGAGCTATAGGCGCCGAGCCTGTAATTCTTGACATAAAGCTGCACCCCATCCTTAAAGATTCCATTCTTCACTTGGCTAGTCAGCTGCTGAGTCCTGCTCTTACCTTCTCTGCACTGATTGTCTCTGTCTGGGGGCTCTGTGGGTTTTATGTATACAATGAAAGCTGTCATATTCCTTTTACCACAGAGTCCATTTCTCAAGCTCCCATTCTGTCCATGTCCCCTGCTGAAATCTTTGGAACCATTTTTGACCTCTTCTTACTTTTTGTCTCTATAACTAATGATTAACTTCATCACTTGTTTTTTTTTGCAAATGATTCTTAGAGTTTTTCTTTCTTTTTTTTTTTTTTTTTTTTTTTTGAGATGGAGTCTCACTCTCTTCACAGCTCATAGCAACCTCAAACTCTTGGGCTCAAATGATCATCTTGCCTCAAGTTTTTTGGTTTTTAGTAGAGATAAGGTATCATTCTTGCTCAGGCTGGTCTCGAATTCCTGAGCTCAAGCAGTCCACCTGCTTTGGCCTCCCAGAGTGCTGGGATTACAGGCATGAGCCACCATGCCCAGCCTATTCTCAGATTCTTCCCTTACTCATTTCCTGTGCACTAGATTGAATCCCCGTTCAGAGACTCTATAATAGACTCTTGGCTGCTCTTTCTACCTGTAAAGTTTGTGCCTGTTTGTCTAGCACATGACTCAAATAAATCTGAAAAAGCCTGATTTTATTGGCTTATTGCCTTTTTGATGAGGATATTATGTGCAGAGTTGGATATATTTGCTTTTCATACGGATACAAGCTGCTTTTCCTGGTGTTTGGGATTTGGCCTCAATTGCCTTCATTTTACCTGTGACTTTTTTTTTTTTTTTTGAGACAGAGTCGCAGGCTATCCTGGGGTAGAGTGCTGTGGTATCATAGCTCACAGCAGCCTCCAATTCTTGGGCTCAGGTGATCCTCTTACCTCAGTTTTTCTATTTTTAGTAGAGACGGGATTTTGCTTTTTGCTCACACTGGTCTCAAACTGGTGAGCTCAAGCTATCCACACATGTTGGCCTCCCAGAGTGCTAGGATTATAGGCGTGAGACACTGCCTGTGCCTGGCCTTTTTTTTTTTTTTTGAGACATAGTCTCACTTTGTCACCCTCAGTAGAGTGCTATGGCGTCATAGCTCACCACAACCTCAAACTCTTGGGCTCAAGCAATTCTCTTGCCTCAGCCTCACAAGTAGCTGAGACTTCAGGTGCCTGCCACAATGCCCAGCTATTTTTAGAGGCAGTTGGGTGGGGGGGTGTCTCGCTGTGACTCAGACTGGTCTTGAACCTGTGAGCTCAGGCAATCCACCTGCCTCGGCTTCCCAGAGTGCTGGGATTACAAGCATGAGCCACTGTGCCTCATGGCACTGCTGTGCCTGGCCCAGTTTTGCCTGTTGATCCTTGTACCCCTGCCCTTCCTGCCGCTCTCCTGGACCATCTCCTGCTTTTTCCAGCCCCATCTTAAGTTCTCTCCCCTCTGGGAAGCTCCCAGACTGGGACATTCACGGTGATTTAGTTTTGTTTATACTCTTCTATATTTCTGTCATGCTTACCATCTAACTCATAACAATCACAACTTTATATCTTGAACAGTGTCTGACGGTGCTAGCTGTCTGGTACTTAACAAGTTATTTTTAGTTTGAAAGGAAATTGCAGCCTTTCTAAGTGCAAGTTTCTCCCCCATCACACTGTAGATCTTAAAATCTTTTGCACTGCAGCAGTCACAAGGCCAGCTCTGCAGCCTGCACCTGGGTCTCAGCAGAGTGGTTTTCCAGCCAAGCTTATCCCTTTTGATATATAGGAAATGAATTTCCTCTGGTGGCAATTCATTTTACCGCTGGACTGAACTGATTTTTTTTTTTTTTAAAGACAAAGCCTCAAGCTGTTGCCCTGGAGTGCTGTGGCATCACAGCTCACAGCAACTTCCAACTTCTGGGCTTCAGCGATTCTCTTGCCTCAGCCTCCCAAGTAGCTGGGACTACAGGCGCCTGCCACAAGACCTGGCTAGTTTTTGGTTATGGTTGTTATTGCTGTTTGGCAGGCCCGAGCTGGATTTGAACCCACCAGCTCAGGTGTATGTGGCTGGTGCCTTAGCCGCTAGAGCTACTGGCACCCAGCCTGGACTAAACTGATTTTTAAAAAGAACTACAAATGGCTTTTTTGTAACTTACTCATAAAAGTTCAAGTTGTATCCCCTGTGGTCATACACAGCTAATGTAATCCCTTTTCCATGTGACATTTCTTTTCATTCTTGTTCCTTTATCTGTGTCCCTAAGGGGCTTTTCCAGCCCTAGTTTGTTCTTCTCAGATGACTTTTAAAATGTGTCAATAGGGCTAGGTGCAGCCTGTGATCCTAGCACTCTGGGAGGCCGAGGCAGGTGGATTGCTTGATGAACTCAAGAGTTCAAGACCAGCGTGAGCAAGAGTGAGACCCTGCCTCTACTAAAAATAGAAAAATTAGCTGAGCATTGTGGTGGGCACCTGTGTAGTCCCAGCTACTAGGGAGGCTGAGGATCCTCTTGGACAAGAAGATCTCTTGAGCTCAAGATTTTGAGGTTGCTGTGAACTGGCACTCAACCCAGGGTGACAGAGTCAGACTATGGCTCAAAAAAACAAATAATAAATAAATAAAATATGTTAACAGGAAATGAAATTCTGTTTTAATGTGGCTCAGTTTTTGCAGGGAGAGCAGGACTGTGCATTTGGGGGAACACATGCAGCAGTGAACACATGGACAGAAATCTGTGATCTTATGGAGTTTATATCCTGGTGGAGGGAGACAGTGGTAAACCCGATAGATAAGTGAGGCAGGTGGTTTGTAGAAGATGTGCTGTGGGGAAAACCTGAGAAGGGGAAGTTGCAGGGAAGTGTCAAATGGGGACGGGGAGAGGGGTGCAGTTCTAATCTGGTAAGGATGGGCCTCACTGAAAAGGGGGGTTTTGAGTGAAACATGAAGAAGGTGAGATGGGCAGCAGTGTGACGATCTGGGGAAGGAATGATCTGGGTGAAGAGGGTAGCCCGAGCACTGAGGCAGGAGAGTTCTGGCATCTGGCATGTTTTCAGTAGAGCTAGGAAGCAACGTGGGTAGAATGGATGAGCTCAGTGAAGCAACAGGGGGACCAAATGGTCTTGGCACTAGTAGCCATGACATGGACTTAGACAACTTGAATGCAAAGTGGGCTGAAGAATTATTGGAGAGTTTTGTGTAGAGGAGTAATGTGATCAGACTTATGTTCCAGAATGACTAGTCTGCGTGCTGTGGTGAGAATAGACTGAGTAAGAGCAGAAGTTACAATAATGCAGGTGGCTTAGACCAGGGAGGTGCAGTGAACATGACAAGTGGTTTGATTCTGGACATTGAAGGTCAACACAGTGTGGTTTCCTGATAGTTGGTGTCACAGAACATTATCACCTTTCTTATTTTAAGTACTTCTTTTTAAAAACACAAAAATGTGGTGGAAATTCAGTATGGCCACAGCACATTGTTGACTGAACTCACACTGACTAAAACATCTCTTTAAAAAACACTTGAGTGTGCCAGTGCACATATACCTTTTAATTTGTGTTTAGTTGGTTTTTGGTGCCAAGTTAAAGATTTTACTTTTGTTTGTAGGGTTATTTTATTTTGCTAGATTTGACTTACTGCTCCAAATAGTCACAAGTTTGGGCAATCCTTAGTCTATTACCCAAGACAATAACCCCTTTGTCAGCTTCCTGCAAATCCACACACGTTGAAAGCTTTCTGTGGCTTCCAAAACCTGGATAGAAGATTCAGCAAGACAGAACTTACGACAGACCTCTTAAGCCTCCTTCTAGGTTGATTTTGGCTTTCTAATTCACATTCTTCAGTAGCGTTGGTTGAGTTTTAATCCACCTCACTGAGCAGCCAGCTAGTACATCTTTATTATATTCATGAGGATGACATGAGATGCTGTTAGCTACTTTGCTGAGACTACAGAGGCATATGCCAGGTCTGTTAGAGTTCTCTGATCTGCAAATGTAGAACCATGATATCAATGGAAAGAGAAAGAGCGAAGTGTGTCTGATTAATGTACTCATAATGAAGTCACACTCTTAACACCCAGTGTCTGTGAAGGCTTTCTTTTCTCCAGTGCTTACCAGCTGTATTTTAACAGTCCTCTTGAGACTTGTCCAGGATTGACATCTCATCTGGGCAGGCTGTAATTTGCAGAACTGGCGGCCTTTGTTCACCTTGAAGACGAGAATTGGAGCCTTCTGACCTCTCTTTGTTTTCCAGGATTCTTGAATATCAGCAGTGAGTCTGCTGAGTTCACTTGTCCCCCTCACTTTAGAATTGTCTCCCATTTAGACTGTGTCATTCTTCACCCCCACACACTTCTCTATTCACTACCACCAGATGAATTTTAGGGACTCATTGGGAGAAAACTGACTCTGGAGGAACTGTTGGATCCACAGTGGTTCCCTGCTGTTAACATAAATGCCACTGCCTAGCATGTAAGGGCCCCCTTTCTCTGGTCACAGGCCACCTCCACCCCCACTCGGCATTCCAAATGTTTTACTTGAGCCCAACAATTTTTTTTTCTTTGTTTCTGCTCTGTAATTTCTGTTATCCTATCATTTCCTTCTTTGACATCTAGTTTAAATTTGACTGCCTCATGTAGCATCCCACATTTCTGCCTGCTTAATTCTCTGGTATTACAGAATTTAACATTTAATTGTATGTTCATTTAAATTGTTTCCGTTTTGTTGAATGGATTAATTTTGTGTCCTCACTACCTTTTTCTGAGACTATGGATTATACTATTTGAATAGATCTAAAAATGCTTTGCATAACATCCTGCCAGACATAGTAGTTAAATATCCATTAAAATGTGCTCCTTTGTTGTGTTCTGGATTGCAGTGGAAGGTGCCCATGCTGCACTGTTTAGAGGAAACAGCAAACAGACAGTTTGGAGGGGCTACTTGGTATGTTATTTTTAATTTAATTGCTTTTCTGCAGTAGACTAGGATAAAAATATGGGTACTAAATCTGTTTTCCTACTAATATTAATGACTGTTGATTTAAGTGACCCTAACATTCTTGCTCAGAAGCTTGTACAGTGCACTAAGTCTTTACTAGTTATTCAGCAGTAAGTTTTCACCAGCCTCACCGTAAAGAAAATGAGTTATGTTTTCCACCCTTGTTTTAGACCACAGATAAGGAAGTCCCTGGGCTAGTGCTAATGCAAGACTTGGCTTTCCTGAGTGGATTTCCACTGACCTTCAAGGAAACAAATCAACTAAGAACAAAACTGCCAGAAAATCTTTCTTCTAAAATCAAACTGGTAAGAACGTATAAAGTAGAGCATTTAATTTGTGGCCCATTTTCTTTCGAAGTATAGCTGATAACCTTCAGAAGCAAAGAAGGACTGTATTCGGCTACAGTATGTTGTCATGAAGGTGACTTTAATTTACAGAAGAACCTCATTCCTTACTGTTACTTTGGGCAAAATTCTGAGAGTATTAATTGGTTTGCTTGTTTCTCAGGCCGAACAGAATTCATTTGTTTAACAAATCACCTTGTACAATGTGACATTACACCTGCTGGGGATACAGCAGTGGACAAAACACACAAAAGCTCTGACAGAGTTTATGGTGTAAGGACATAGAAGCATGCACAGAGGAGATGAAGGAAGATCATAAATGTAAGAAACACACAGACCCCAACCTGCACGGGTGTTAGCAGCTTTCTCTCATAAGCACGATGTGCTTCAGAGATTTGAAATATTTGATAATACGAAACCTAATGGAGGCATGAAAGTATTTAGTAGCCGCAATGCCCAGCTACTTCTGCTGCAGTTTGGCCAGGGCCAGGTTGGAGCCCGCCACCCTCAGTATGTGGGGCCTGCGCTCTGCCCATTGAGCCCCAGTGTCTGCCCATCTTCCACGTGTTTCTTCTTCCTCATAACTATTGCTTTGCTTTATGACACACTGTATAATCCTTACAATGGTCATGCCATGATCATTTACGAATTTGTATTTTTCCTTTTTCATATTTTCCTTCATAACTTTCTTTATTGTGCTTTGAAATATGATAGTGGCTACCTATGTTAGGGCTGAATTTGTTCTTAATCTGCAGTTATTTTAGAATAGGTACTATACCCCCCTCCTTCCCCTGAGTTATTTTTAACACTGAGTCAGGCAGATAAAACCATAGATTAGCTTTCATTTCAGCCAATGTTTATCTGGCTTCTTGGCTTCCTAGCTGTTAGTTCTAGAATTATAAACATACGTTTATCTGTATTTTGGACTGTCAGTTCAGATTGCTTATGAGGAAAGAATGACGTTCTTGATTCTATTTATATAATTCCAACTCTAATGCATTTTTAAAAGAAGGGAGGTTTATTCCATGTCTCTGTTTTCGACTCCAGTTTGAATATTCCACATCACTTGGCCTCCGCAGCCGCCGCTCACTGGTGCTGACTGTTCTCATGTGTCTGCTGGTGGACGGGGTGTGTGTTGCCAAAGAATGCCAATCCCAAGTAGTGGCTGAGCCTTTAGCACACTAGTTTTTGAGTGGTTGGTGTGGTATGTACAGGTCGCGGTTGAGTGGGATGGTGACTTGAATTGGACAAGGAGTATGAGCAGGCTTCTGGCAGGGTGCGGTTCTTTCCACGGTTCATTCTCCCAGTTGGAGATTTGTTTGGATCTCCAGACCTGGCTTTATGGAGGCCAGCAGCTCTGGGAGTATCAAGTTGATCAATCAGCTAACATTGCAGACTATTTTCATGAGCCCAGCACCTGTGATCAACTTCAGGGATTGGGATTTAAGAATTTTGGAGGCTAGAGAGAAGATGAGAAAAAGGAAAACAGAGGGAGGCTTGGTGCCTGTAGCTCAGCCACAAATACCAGAGCTGGTGCGTTCCAACCCAGCCTGCCAAACAACAATGACAATTACAATAACAACAACAAAATATAGCCGGGTGCTGTGGCAAGCTCCTGTAGTCCCACCTACTAGGGAGGCGGAGGCAAGAGAATCACTTAAGCCCAAGAGTTTGAGGTTGCTGTGAGCTGTGATGCCACGACACTCTACCCAGGGTGACAGCTTGAGACTCTGTCTCAAAAAAAAAAAAGAAAACAGATGGAATGTGTCAGCCCAGGCCTTCAAGTGGTTCCTTAGGCTCTACTTGCCGTTTTATTATGAGTAGTCTGAGAAGGAAGGAACTTTTCTATCTTTGGGTTCCTAGTCTATTTGGGTAACAAGCATTTATTAAATACCTTCTGTATGCCAGGAACTGTGTTTAGGGATAACTAAGTGGATAAAAGCACTTAATTAATTTTGGGTGTGGTCATTTCCAAGTAAGAGTTTATACAAAGTGCAGTGAGAACTCAAGGTGGCGGGTTCGAATCCAGCCCGGCCCGCCAAACAACAATAACAGCTGCAACCAAAAAATAGCCGGGTGTTGTGGCGTGCGCCTGTGGTCCTAGCTACTTGGGAGGCTGAGGCAGGAGACTTGCTTGAGCCCAGGAGTTGGAGGTTGTTGTGAGCTGTGATGCCACAGCACTCTACCCAGGGGGACAGCTTGAGGCTCTGTCTCAAAAAAAAGAACTCCTGGGCTTTAGGTGTACTGGGGGCAGGTCAGGCCTTGCATAACAGGAAGCATTTTAGTGAGAACAGAGCAGTCATTCTTTGGCAGAGAAGGGAGTGGGAAAGACCATTTCAAGCAGAGGCAGCAGCCTGTGCAAAGGACTGGAAGCCTGAAAGTAACTGGTGTTTCCAGGGAACTAAGGCAGTGGCATAGGCAAAATTTTGCTAAGGATGAGATTGGGAAGACGATTTGAGGCCATATTGAGAAAAGTCTTTATTAAGGAGCCTGGACTTTATCCTGAAGGCTGGAGGAAGATGTAATCTTATTTGTTTCTAAGGAATTTAGTAAGGAAAGGTGTGGTAGGCGTTAGATAAGAAGAGGCTGGAGGCAGGAAAACCAGTTCAGCCACTGCAGCTATAGCCCAGCAAGACATTCCCGTTCAGCAGGTGCCTTGGCAGGGGGATGCCAACAATGGGCATGGTTCCAGAAATGTGGGAGACACACCCAGTTTCCAGAAACACGTGAGAGACAACACTCAGTGTCACTTGGTGACTTAGGAGCAGTCTGGGGAGAGGGAAGGGAGAACAAAAGGGAAAATGAGTCTTTCTAGTGAAGATGGAATTAACCATGTTCAGAACTTTGAGGGAGAAGGAAACCCAGAGTTCAGTCCAGGGTGTGTTACATTAGAGGTGCTTCTGGCATCCTGGAGGAGAGGCCCATTAGGCGCTGGACTTCAGGGCCTGACAGCTAAAACTCTTTGCCCTCCCAGGCTCTCTCAGGAGGGCTCCGATGAGGCCTGTGTCCCCTGAGCCACCTAGGGCTCAGCTGTGTCCTTCAGACTCTCATCAGGCCACAACATCTCAAGACGGGTACTGTTCTGTTCACCTTTTACTCCTGGTGATTGATGAGCTGGCACTTAGTGGATTGCTCTAGAAATGTTTATTGCCGGGCACAGTGGCTCATGCCTGTAATCCCCACACTCTGGGAGTCCGAGGTCAGAGTGAGCTCATGAGTTTGAGACTAGCCTGAACTAGAGTGAGACCCCATCTCTTAAAAAAAAAAAATAGCTGGGCCTTGTGGCGGGCCCCTGTAGTCCCTCTACTTGGGAAGCTGAGGCAAGAAAATCACTTGAGCCCAAGAGTTTGAGGTTGCTGTGATCTATGACACCATGGCACTCTACCCAGGTTGACAGAGTGAGACTGAAAAAAAAAAAAAAAAGAGAGAAAAGAAATGTTTGTTGAAGGAATGGGGAAGAAGAAAGCTACCACCATAAACACACCCACCACATACATATGGTGTCGTGGAATACAAAGGGGCGCTTTCTAGCAGTGTGATTACTCACAGGAGTGGCTCTAAGTTTTTGGTACCAGAAATGTGCCTTTGCACATTGTTGTACACGAACAGCTTTGCCTTTGTCATCCTGTGTAGAGCAAAACCCCGATTTTTTCTTTTCCCCTGAGGAGGGGACTTGAACATGGTTTCATTTGCAAATAACAGATTTGAATTCTAAAACTTTTCTGTTAATTGTAGTAAATAAGTACTACTTCTTACCTCTTATACAAGAAGCTTTCTAATTTGAGATACCAATTATCTAACGTATCTACCAGTATATCTGTAGAACTTAATGATGTACTCAATTCACCTTCAAATAAATCAGGTTATCTATTAGTCTTTATTTTCAGGTCACTCTAAAGCATTTTGTGTTCTGAGAATTTTCTCTCTTTTTTTTTTTTTTTTTTGAGATAGAGTCTCACTTTGTTACCCTGTAATCTCAGTACTCTGGGAGGCCGAGGCGGAGGTGGGTGGATTGCCTGAGCTCACAGGTTCGAGACCAGCCTGAGCCAGAGCGAGACCCCTGCCTCTAAAAATAGCTGGGCCTTGTGGCCGGTGCCTGTAGTTCCAACTGTTCAGAAGGCTGAGGCAAGAAGATCACTTGAGCCCAAGAGTCTGAGGTTGCTGTGAGCCATGACGCCACAGCATTCTACCAAGGGTGACAAAGCGAGAGTCTTTTTTTTTTTTTTTGAGACAGAGCCTCAAGTTATCACCCTGGGTAGAGTGCTCTGGCATCACAGCTCACAGCAACCTCCAACTCCTAAGCAATTCTCTTGCCTCAGCCTCCCAAGTGGCTGGGACTACAGGAGCCCGCCACAATGCCTGGCTATGTTTTTTTTTTTTTTTTGGTCGTAGTACAAACTATCATATATATCATTGTTGTTTGGCAGGCCCTGGCTGGATTTGAACCTGCCAGCTCTGGTGTATGTGGCTGGCGCCTTAGCTGCTTGAGCTACAGACATCTACCCAAAGTGAGACTCTTGTCTTGGAAAAAGAAAGATTTTTAATGACTTTAAATTAGATCAATCCAAAATAAAAATAGGTTATATCATCTGAATTTTTAAGCACTTCAAAGTTTTTAGAAACAGAACGTCTTATAGGAAAGCTTTCGTCATCCTTTTTAATTTGCATGTGCTCCAAGAATAGGTTTTCTTAACCTCCAGACTCTTGACTGTTGGGGGCAGATGCTGCAGGGGGACTGTCCTGTGCACTTCAGGATGACCAGCAGCCTACCAGGTCTCATTTTCCAGTGTGAGAACCAGAAATACTCCACACATTGCCAAATGTTTCCTTGGAGCAAAATATCCCTCATTGAAACTGTCCTAGAAATAAGATTTGCAGATATGTGGTGGTTTAGACACCTTGATGCAGCCTTTATTTTTTAGCTACAATTTCTCATTTTCCCTACATATGACAACTCTAGG